TTTTTTTTCATAAGTATAAATGTGGAAACTATTTTTAAACTCTAGAAAACAAATTTAGATGGTAGGAGGACAAAATTTTTTATGTAATTTTTTTTAGATCACCCTAATATATATATATATTAATATTTATACGTATATGTTAATATTCATTTATATATTCCTACAGCCGACGCCTCTGCCGCCGTATATGCCTCGTGTATAATGTTCCCCCCCCATGCCCGCCCACAAAACACGGCTATACCTCATGCATGATACGTTTTAAAAAAATTATTTTTAACTTTTTAGTTCGATGTGCTTTAATAGCGTGTTTTTTCATTTTTTTTAACTATATTTATTACTTTTGACAAAGTACCGAGACGAGTCCAGCAATATTTATACACCAAATAATAGCTTGTAAAATTGCCTAAACTCGTCTTGGAACAAAATTTCAAAACTTCAGAATTTTTATCATTTTATGATTTAGATGTATATGTATTTCAATGTCATTTAGATTTATTGATACTTTGGTTAATTGATCTAAAACTGTATTTAGTTTATTACTTATAATAATATTTTCTACTTACTAAAATTTGTTGAATTACCAGGCTGTAAAATATATTAGCTACGCATATAATTAATAGAACATATTATCGTTATCGCGCTGCCGTCTCAATGCTCATCTATAAATCTATAAATATAATGTAAGTTTTTTTTTTCTGAGTACTATTTTAAGTCAATTGAATACGGAAAAGTGTTAACTAATGATCAAGGTATTAAAACAAATATTTCTGATAAACGAAAAAAGAAAGTAAATAAATATAGTTTAAAAAAACTGAAAAACACGCTTTTAAAGCATATTGAACTAAAAAGTTAAAAATAAGCTTAATACAATAATGAACGAAAAATAATAATATTGTGAAAAATAGCATGGGAGCTTTGTGCCATTTTTTTCGTATATTGAGCGCCCGACGATTTTTTTCACAATAATACTAGTATTTTTCGTTCATTATTGTTTCAAGCTTATTTTAAAAATTATTTTGAAAGATTTAGTTCGATATGTTTTTCAGTTTTTTTTAACTATATTTATTTTATACTTTTTAGTTTTTTATGACATCGCTGTCACAGTCACGGAGTGTTTATTGTCAATTATGACTATTAATTAATATAATTTCTGTATTCAGTTAGTGTGTTTATTTATGAACTCACAACAATGTGTCTTATTACCATTAATAATAAAGGCTATATAACTGTGAATTTCGTCATAAAAAACCAATTAGTTACTTGTATTTGTAATCCCTTATATATTATACATGTATATTAACTCAAAAAAATTTGAATCTTTAAATGTTTATATCTAATAGTGAACAATAAAAATTTTTTTTATACAGAGTGATATTTTTATCATAACCCACTCAATTACTTACAGAATAAATATAATTTAAATATTTTTTTTTTAGTTATCTTTAGTTAGACATTATTCTTGAATTATTAACTATGTCCCACACAGCAATTTAATGTTAAAGTAATATTGTTATAAAATTAATTTTATAATAATAACATTAGTTTAATTTTTATAGGTTATTAATTTTGATTACAGAAATATACATTACCCTATAGCTATTTGGCCACCGAAATAATGTTGTATCAATGAACAAATAAAAATATTACATCAACATTTATTATTTAACATATAAAAAATTATATGAGTATTAAGTTATTATTATATTTCCCCCAAATTGCTGTAATATTATATGGTCATATAACATTTTTGCAATATTGTAGTATTATTATAATAGGATACCAATTTGAAAAAAAAAAATTTTTTCTATAAGCAATATAAAATTATATTTATGTATTTATATAAAATAATCATTAAACTGTATAAGTTTTAAAACAATCTCATTATAATGAGGTACAACATATTTATAAATTTAAAAACATAATAATTGGTCTTAAACGGTTAAAATGAATAATCTTAACATATTCATTAAGAAAGCAACATTAAAATAATTGATTTTAAACAATTCAAATTAAAATCTCAACACATTCATAATTAAAAAAAAAAAAATTTAAGTTGGTTTAAACTGTTAAAAATGAAACATAATTCTTTACTTTATAATGTAAATAATTCAATTATTTACACATTCATGTATGTTCTATACTTCACTAATTATAATTTGTGAAGAATGGAATATAAAACTACTTAAAAATCTTTTAGTATTATTTGGCTGATCTTTTTTCTCAATTTATTATTCGGAAACTTGCATGAGCTAACCACACACTAATTTCACAGTCAATTTCTTTTTTAGGAACCATTTCATACTTGACATTAGTCCTTATTATATCTGAAAAGTCATTGATTTATAGATAGATGTGTTAAACTTGAATAATTACAAAACAATTAAATAATAATTTATTTTCCTCTCTTTAGTTTAGTTTAACTTTAAGACTACTTTTTAGTTGCATTGCTCCTTTTATAATAGGCTTTAAAACAAAGCTTTTAATAACATGTTTATCAGTTGTATTAATACCTTTTATCAAATGATATGATAGTAAATCAGTAAATCTTTGTTTCTTTTTAAAACCATAAGTTGAAAAATAAACTAATACTGAATCATGAAACATTTTTGTCATAATACGCCTCACTGATTCTCCAAGACTTTTGGCAGTTGTGAGGAACAATAATTTTCTTATCTAGAAAAACAAAAATTTTATTTTTGTTAATATATGAAATATTTTATTAAAAAAAAAAAGAAAGCATAATAGGAATTTTGCAAAATGAAGTTGAGGCATTTTTAGATTTTTATAATAATCTCTCATTTTATAAATCAAATTAAACTAACTTTCATGAAACCATATTTGGTTTTAATGCTCAATAGAACAGCAGCACCTAGAAATCAAGATTTTGTATTTTTTTTTCATCTAAGAGTACATTGTATTAGCTTTAATTTGATTTAAAGAAGTAGGTTTATAAAAGTCTGGTTTTTTGGAACATTATCAAACACTGAAAAGATAAACATTTGTTATGGTAATTTTGTACCTTCTCAAAATTTGGTTAATAATAGAATTTTTAAAAAAAAGCTATACATTATAAGATGCTTGATGATTTATAAATTAATAAATATTTAATAAATAATAATTGACAAATAAAAGAAACCAATAAATATATAAATATCATAATTAATTTGGAATAAATCTGCTTTTTGGTTCATTAAATATCAGAATTACCCTATATTTTACAACAACTGAATATTGCTTTCGTAAATTAATGAGAATTTTATTTAACACTATTATAAATAACAGTTTGTTAATTTAAGTAAAATTATTTAGATGATCTTTTGTCGTTGTGTAATAATAATATTAACTATTATACAACAATATAAGCTGAGAAAGTATTAAAATGGAACTACCAGTTATGTTATAGAATTTTGTCATTCTAAAGGCATTATGTATCCATAATACCTTAAGCAATAAAAAGTTATTTTACTCACAAGTATGCATTTGAAGTCATTTTCATTTATCTTGAGCTTAAATTCAAATGTTTCAAGATCTTCCTGAGTATTAATTGGAAATATGTCATTGACATCAACATCATTATAATTTGAGTTGCTTGAAAGATCATTTCTACTATAATTTGTATGTGCCATAATAGCTTCAATATTAGCACTAATTATTTGTTGGGTAGAAGTCAATAAATTAACATCAAACTTAATATGTGTCAAAGCTGCAACAACATGTTTCTGAAAATTTTAAATTTTATCATTTATTAGCTAACTTTATTATATATACAGGTCATCAAAATTTAATTATTCAGCTGATTTCTCCTAAAATAATATTGATATGTAATGTTATTTTCATTACATATTATTGTAATAATTACATTATAACATATATATATATATATATACTACAGCAGTAAAACTATATAATTTGATAATATATTTATTTCCAAATTTAATTAACTAGTTTCATAATTATAGTTATTAACTATAGATTAACTTTAAGAATTAATATTTACCAGCATCAAATAATCCATTAGAACAACCACTTCTGTTAGAGCTCAGCATGAGAGAAGAATAATCTGTATTGGCCACAAAAAATGATCCTGCAATCAATTTTTCAATTTTTTAAAAAGATTCAACACAAAACCTTATTTTATAGTAGCAAGACAAGATTTATCAAAATAATTTTTACCTTCATTATCAGATGGTACTTTTACTTTCTTCTGTGTAGATGGTTGGAAATTTTTCTCTGATGATGTATATTTATTAGGAGCTATTGAATTATAATTCAACTTGTCTGTAACGAGCTCTGTTTCTGTAGGAAAATTTATAGATTCCAAGGTAGAGTTAGGACTAGGGCCTAAATAAAAATAAATAAATATAATATAACAAGTAGTAATAAGAATTTATTATGTTACTTCTTAATTTAAAATCTGGGTCTTTTAAACTGTCGTCATCAGAAACATGATTATATTCTATATGATTACTATAATTTTCAGCAACAACCATGTTCTCTGTTAAAATGATAAATAAACATGTGTTCAATATTTTTGTTTTAACAATTTATAATATTTGATTGGATTTACTAAACGCTTTAAGAGGTTTAATGTGAGATTTTATTTTTAATTTATCTTGAGCCTTTTTAGGAAAAGGAGAAAATTCTTTTCTAGCTCTGTTTTTTCTCGTTTCTTTCATATTTTCAATTTCTGATAAATCTGAAGATTCTTGTGCTATTTTTTCTTTGCTTTTGGCTTGTTCATAAGTCTGTAAAAAATTATTATATTGAAAAGAGATATTACGGCAGAAAAAATTAAGTAAACTATCCTTTTAACTTAGAAATTTTGTTATACCATAAGTAGCAGAGCCAATTTGTCTAGCCTTTAAATAGTAAAAATCTGAACTATTAGGTAGTGTACGATTTTGTATTGCTTTTGTAGAATTGATTGTTTTATTAGGCCAAGCACATTCATTTGTAACTTTGTTGAGCCAAGTACTTGGAACTGCTTCGACAGTGTTATCTTGTGTGAAACGAACGATTGTACACATAATTTAGTTAACTATAATTTTTAAGATGAACTTTATAACACATGATAAATTATATACACTAACTGATTATTAATCATCATCTGATAATAAAATCCTATAATATAATGATTATTTTATGTATAAAATAATCATTATATACTTAGAAAAATATTTTTGATTGCTTTAATTTACATCATATAAATAATACACAATTATATATATTAATATAAATAAATGTGTAGTAAATAAAAAATTATTAAACCTGAAAAAACAAAATAAATATAATACATTAATTTAAATAATTTATTCACATTATATAAAAGTCCATTGTGGTGTACATTAGGGATAGCCTAAAACACATACAACATAATTACATGATTGTATGAATTACTGGAATAGCAATTGTTTTGTCAGCTACAGTAATTACCATCATTTTACATTTTATTTTATTTTCTTCAACTACAATATAATTTTCAGAAATATTATTTATTCTATAAATATCCAGTAGAGTAGACAAAAGAGGTTCAGAGTAAGCTGGACTTATATCAATAAAATATTTACCGACAATGACAGAGATTAATTTATTACTAACCTTTTGACACGCAAAATTTAAACATTTAATAATTTTTGAGCAGTTGGTTAATACATAACTATCTCTCTAGTGAATTAAGCTTAAAACTACTGCAATATATCTGATGATATTGGGGACCAATAACATCATTAATTATGGGACCTTGGCAATGTAATTTTTTTCTATAAAATTTATCACCTGAATTAGGACTACCTAAATTTTTCTTTACATTATTCCATTGCTTTTCATATCTACAGATAAATTGCTGCAATGGTTTTTCACATTTTTTGAGTACTGGTTTAAATTCTTTCATAAAATATTCGAATGGATAACAGCTGCATTCATTAAGAGGCCCAAAATTGTTATAATCATCAGTCAAATGTAAAATTCCATGAACATTATGAAACAAATTGAAGTTACCATAAATTTTATCAAATGATTTAACAAAATAGTTCAAGAGTTCTTGAGCATATTCTGTGTGGTCTTTTTTATTTGGACTTAGCAAAATTATCATGGCAACATTAAGTGACATAAAATTAAAATAGCAATCCTCTGAAATTATATTTTTTAAAACAAAAGGTCCAGCATAAATTAAAAAAAACGTAGTTCAGTAGCTTTCCACTGTAAAATACCTTGAATTTCTCGAGGCTTTCTAGGAAACTCTACAGGTACATATTTTTTTAAAAGCAACAATCGTGAAGTAATTACATTAATATTTCTTGCTGGTAATCGTACAGTTGATGGGCCATTCAAAACCCAAAATAAAATTAATTTACGCATTACTCCTAAATTAGTAAGATGCATATAAAGGACCGAGTTATATCAATATTGGAGATTTCAGTTAAAATGGATGGAGAAGATGTATGAAATTCTTTGTGTACAAATTTCGACATTTATAATCATTTCTTAGTGTTGATTTGGTGGTACTATATGGAAAACACACACGATTTTTTAAATAATCACCTTCAATTAAACAACGAGTACACAAATTGAAATCACTATGGCTTTTAATATTTAAAATAAAACTTTTAGCAGGTGCATCAAAGCAAAAGAGATCAAATTTAATAATAAAATGTTTATTATTGATGTTTAATCCATTATTGGTTAAATGCACAGCTTCATTGACAAAATCTAACAAAAAATCATCACTTTCTTTCTTTCTGAGTTAAATCAGGATAATTAGTGGAATTTTAACTCGATTCGTCTTGGCATAAATTATTATTATCAAGACTATTTTTTATTTTTCTTCTTTTAGAACGACTACTCTTTACTAAGATGGACATAATATAAATTATATTATATTATATTTATACAGATTTGGATAACTACTAGTAATCTAATTTAATTTATCATAAATAATAATTATACAATCAATTTAATAATTATAAATATACTATATACAATAAAACTCACTAATAATACAAAAAATATAAGTTTTCCGTTTCTAAGACAATAACCAAAACCACGTACAATTGTACAAAACAGTTCACCATGCGTTTGACAAAAAATATAAACAAAACGTTCCACTAGCAGATTCGAAATTGGACAATAGAAAGAAATAGACGATCAACTATAAATAAACAATGGCAACGCTTGATAACCGACATACGCTCACGTGCTTTATTTTGTTTTCATCACGGTTAAATAGACCTCTGTTTAAAAAGCCAGACAGTAAATATATAACCGTGGTCGTCTTCTTTTACAACAAGATAATTTCGAGTAGCTGCAGCTACCTGAAATTATATATTTGATAACATGTTATCAAATATATATTTCTAAACAAGTCGAAACACGATCGTAGAACAACAAATATATTTTTTTATTCTACAATTTATGAAGGCTAGGTATATCTAATATAATTACATGAATGAAATTTACACTCGTTTATTAATATCAAGCGTTAATTATATAATTATTTAACTGTAGATTTATCAACACAATGTGGAAAACCTGGTAGCTTTATTGCCCGAATTTCTTGGGAAACATCTTGTCATGACAAAAAATTACATCATTATGATGTATTGAATTGTATTAATTAATTTTCCAGAACCACAACTTAAGTTGTGTCCCTGGAAAATTATCAAAATTGCACTTCTTCAAAACTTAAATACAATTAATTGAATTGTGCTCTTGCTATAACCTTTGAGAGGTATAGTGCTTGTTAATCAACAAGCATTCAAATATTTCAAAACAATGTTTTTATTTTAAATATTTTTTCGGCAATATAAATTTATATTGTCAATATTGGCAAATATTTGTATTTATAGTAGATAATACCAACTTATTTTGGTATTATCATAAAATCAGATGTTAACAGGTGAAAATGTTTATTTAAAATGCTGAGATATTAAATAATTATAACTAAAATTTAAAAAATTTTAATTATAAATTTACGCTAATATTTTAAAATCAAATTGAATTAATAATAACAAAATAGTATTACATAAATGTTGACAAGACATTAAAAAATATATATTAAAAGTAAAATTAACATATAATTTTATCGAAATATTTTAAAATCAAATTGAGTGAATTTTAATAAAATAGTATTACATAAATATTGACGCGGTTTTCAAAAATAAATATTTTAAGTAGAATCAACGTATAATATTAAAGAACTAAGATAGAAAAGTAACATTACAGGAATTTTGTTATAAAATTTATTTTCTAATATTTTCCAAGTAATCAATGCATAATATTTCTATCATATTAAAATTTTTTTTTGCTGTGTGGGGTAATACTTTTTAAGTTCATCACTTATGTCTTGTAAGGGTGTCAACTTTGTTTTTTTAAATGGGAACACATATTTTGAATTTAATAAAATGTTCGAGTTTTTAATTTAATATTAAATGACATTTGAATTTTTAATATAACTTTATTTGTTCATTAGATATAAACGTTTAAAGTTTCAAATTTTTGAAACGATATGAAAGTATTATCTCAACAAAGTGAATTCAAGAAAGATATAAGTAAAGTTTATGACCGAATTCTTACTGAACTAAAAAACTGATTTGAAAAATGTCTGAAATTGCTGAAGATTTTCAATTTTTGTATGGTAGTAGCATGATGGATAACTTATTGGACTATGTACAAAAATGTGCAATTGATCTATCCCTCAAGTATGAAGTTTATCTAAATACTTTCGATTTTATTTTTGAAATAAAAGATTTTAAGTTTCAAACATTATCTCTTTTATCTGATTTAAGGGTTGTAGAACCTTTAGACCTACTTCAATTAATTACAAAATATTTTTTATGTGCTGAGTATCCAAACGTAGAAATAGCCTTACGCATATTTTTGACTTTGCCAATAACTGTGGCGACGTGTCAAAGATCATTCAGTAAGTTAAAACTTATTAAAAACTCTTTAAGATCGACAATTGGACAAGATCGAATATATGATTTGGCTATTTTATCAATCGAACATATATTGGTAAATACTTTGAATACAGACAAACTTATTGAAGATTTTTCCGGGAAAAATATTAATTTGATAATATTTAAAATTAATATTAAATAATGTTATGTTTCTTTACACATTACATGTTAAATATTAATATGTTACTTATAATTTTTCTTGTATAATTTTATTTTAAAAAGGTACAGATTTAAATAAAATTATTTGCGTTAAAAATGTAGTTAAGAGAACGCCATACAGGGAAACGAAACAACGATATAACCGAGAGAATGCGCATTTAGATGCTTTACAACCGAACTCATCAATCACCCTCTGTCTATCATTCCATATAGCATGCGCGCATCTGTACGACCGCCTAATATTATTTTGGAGCACACATTATTCTACTATAGACTGTTAAGCTGTGCGTTACATATTATTTTCATTGATAAAGGCGATAAAGCTCTCATAATATAAAACAAAATGAATAATATATAATATATGAATAAAATATCATAAGATTATAATATGATATTATTTTAAATGCTACCGCTTATTAAACGTTAAAGTGTTGCGAGTATCACATTTGTAGTTAATAATTTATTCACAACTATGAAAAAATTGATTTTAAAGATAATTCTATATAATTTATTGTGTTATGTGAAATATACAATGATAATATCTAGTAATATGTATGTAGTTAGTACTTAGTTAAGTTTAAAACATTGGATATTACTGAAATTGTTGGGTAACTAATTATTTAAATTTTTACTGATTGTAAATCGATTCTTTTCGACCGAGAATAGAGATTAAAGTTTTTTTATCTTTTAATGCAGTGTCACTATCCATGACACAATCACCTTTAATTTACAGTCATCTGTTAGATTTTAGTGCAGTGTGGTTTTACCATGAAAATAGTTAGTATAGAGTCGAAGGAAGAAGAAGAAAAAAAATTAATCAAACAAATTTTTAATTATTTTATATATATTAATTTTTTCTTGTGTTTTTTGATATTTTTTTTGGTTCTTTTATATCCGATTTGAGCAAAATCTTTGGGAACGAGGATCTACAATCTTTGGGAGTAAATACTCCATGTAAAACCTATGAAAGTAAAATATTAGTGACTTTTTACTTATATTTTTAACAATATATATTATTAATTGATTGGTTTACATTCTAATTTGGTTTGACATTTTTTCGTCCCAAAATGTTTGATTGTAGTATATCTCCTCTATATTTATCCATTTGTTAGTATAAATTACATAAAAACATTTCTCTCAACTTGTAGAGTGTAATTGTCCCATTACTTGATAAAAGTACACATGGTCTTCTTTTAACTTTAATTTAGCACTTTCAAACTTGCAATATTGTAACTAAAAATTAAATTAACAAGAATGTTTTCTAATGTTACAAAATAAAACTCCACGTAAATTTCTGACAGATTACCGATCAATTGATATTTTCATTATATTTGCATTATTATTTACATGTAAAAATGAACACAGTAAAGTTAAAATTTAAGTCTCATCACCCGTCAATAATAATAATTATTTTACAAATTTAGATAAGCGACTGCTAAATGGTATCCCGGTGCGTCGATAACAAAGTATAAAAAACTGGTTTTTATCACTGGCAAGGTAGTAGTTGATGGGTGAGGGTAATCGGTTACCGTCATTCAACAAAAAATTCGTCACGTTATAAATGCCACTAGGGACCGACACATGTCGATAGACAAAAAATTCATTATTTTGCATAAAAACTGTTTTGCGCGGGACTACTTTATTTGATCTATATCGATACTAGTCCTAAATTTTTTATCAAATTATAAAGGAGAAAATTATCTGTGATCTAGCGTTTTTATAATTTTGATAGCGCAACTCTGAAGCTATTTATTAAACATTTAAAAAACCAAAAAAATAGGAATGTTTAATAGTAAATATAAAGTACTAGAAATTATGTTAACAAAAAAATGAAAACGATAGATCACAGATAATTTTGTCCTCTATAATTTGATAAAAAATTTGGGATTCTAGCATCAATACGAATCAAATAAAGTAATCCCGCGCAAAACATGTTTAAAACCGTTTTTCATTCTCTGTATGGCGTCCTCTTAAATATTAGGTAGATGATAATTGTTTGATTATTTCATATTTATATTTTACAAAAAAATTAATTTTAAAATAATAAATAACTTAATTATTGGTTTACATTTGATTTATAAGAGTATTAAAGGGACAAAAATTATGTTATAATATTACAGCGCTAAAATTAATAAAAAGTCAAAATAAGTTAACTATAAAATATTCATTTTTAGATTGTTGGAAATAAAATTCATTATTAAAATTTATTTACTCGTATATTTTAATCCTATATATGTATAGTTTTTGTAAATAAAAAAAATTCAGTCATTTCTAAAAATATTTATATAAGCTTATTCTTCCTTTTAAATTTCTTTAAAATAAAATGCAACCATTATTAGTGAATTTTTTTTAGTTTTCATATATGTTTAATTCTAAAAAGCACTAGGAAATATTGTACTTATAATAATATTCATACATGGATTATTCAAATATTTTACTTGGAATACTTTCAATATTATTATATTTTCGGGAAAATAATTGTTCAGGAGAATCAAAGCAGTCAATAAATAAAGATGAACTCATCATTAAACTCAGTGATATATTATCGTTTACTGATTCATGGATTACATTTTATAACCTCACTGTTGCGGCTTGCAATTTAAAAGAACATAATTATACAGTAGTCAACTTATTTGAATATCTTTTTAGTATTGAAAATACGGTCAATGTTGAAAACGAAATGATGGGCAACTCTACTAAATGTAATTATTATTCAGCCATTAAAGCTAACTATAAATATATATTAGAGTTAGTTATCAATATGGTCAAATGTAAGTACATAGAAAAATTAAAAGTGATCTTAATCTTATTTCGGTTCCTATTCTCTGATTTTATTAAAATGTTTATGATGCCAAATCAAGGACCGTTGACAATTGATATAAAAAAAAAGCTCAATGTAATACATTTTATAGAAAGATCAATTAGTCATTTTAATTTCCTAATACTTACAATGAAAAATGTCCTGAAAAAACTTCACGATATGGACATAGATAATTACATCAAGTTAACATTAGTTAAACAACTTTCAAATATTCAGGATACATTTCACCCAAATTATGATAATCTGGACGAGTTCATTGAACTGTTAAAAAAATTATTTCATAATATCTGTTCAAGTGCAACAACCTTTTGTTCAATTAATAATAAATATTTACCCAATAAAACTGGTTTATATTTTGAATTTTATATGCAAGATGAAAAAAATCAAACAGATAATTCATGTCTAAGTTATTTTTATTTTATTTGTGAGAAAATTAACAATACAATAAATGAAACTATAAATATGTATACCTTTAATTTGGTTAATATTAACCAAGTTATTTAAGTATTCTAATAAAATGAAATATTTAAAGATAATATTAATTAATCCAATGGTGTATTTAGACATTTTGAAATGGGGTTAGAGGTTCAGACAACATTAAGAATTTAGAGTAGTGGGAGATTCACCCTTCCACTAACCACCGCTACTATGTTTTAATGTCCATGGATGGAAGTTGTAAGTTGAAGGAATATTTATTATGATTAAATATTTCATAAATAAAATATTTAAATGTCATTTAACTTAAAAAATATTAAAAATGTTAAACAAAATTACACTTAATTTCTATTACACAAATATATAATAAAATGAATATTATCAAAATTCTTTCGATTGATTTTTATTTTATACTTATATCTGATTTTTGATGGTCATAAGAAAAATATATTTATATAATAAGTATTATGTCAAAAATTATTATTTTTTATTACATGATAATAATACTGTTATCGTGCATTTTAGAGCATTTGAAATAATATCATATTATAATCTTATGATAATTTATTATAATTACATATTCATTTTGTTTTATATCATAAGAGCTTTATCGCTTTTATCAATAAAAATAATATGTAACGCACAGCATAACAATCAATAGTAAAATGATGTGCTGCTCCAAAATAATATTAGGCGGTCGTACAGATGCGCGCATGCTATATGGAATTTTTATATTTTTCATTTGAATCACTCTGTATACACAATTTTTTAAAAATGCTCTGATTTCAATTATTTCTGCATTAGTAGCATGCTCTAACGATGTAGATTATAGCAACTCAAAAATAAAAGAAATATAATAAAATTATTTCTTTGGTATATACTAGTGGAAAAAGGAGTTACTATTTATTTTAATAATAAAAGTTTCTCGGGTTGGGTTGGGTTCGAGGGTTTATAAGAATAGTGAAAAGGTAATACAGTAGAATCTCGGTAATCCGACACATATCAGACCACGCTACTGCCGGATTAACGAAAACGCCGGATTAATGGGGAGTTCACAAAAAACGCATTTTTACTAATTGAATTTTACATTTTTACTCATATTAAAAAATTAATAGTCTTATTGTATTTTATTATACAATATTTACAATACAAATATAAATACATACATAATACATACATACAATATGTTGTGTCAGTTAATATTTTGACTGGACCGGTTTTAAAAAGTCATCAATTTTTTTTTGTTTTTTTGTTTGAAATGATGCCTTTAATACTTCTTCTTGAAGTCGCTTAAGCACCAGAATATCACGTGCATCTACTCCGTTCTCTTCTGCCCATGTAATAGACGTAGTAAAGGAATCTATTGCAGTGGAGTGAGTTATGGTTTGAACAGCTAATTCTCCTTCTTTGTCGTCATAATTCCCATCATTATCCTTTTCTTCGGCCATCACTTCCTCGACTATATCATCATCTGTCAAGAACTGGTTATTTTCTTCTTCTTCGCCGTCGATCCATCGCCTTATATCGTCTGTTTTTAGTTGGTTTTGTTCCTCATTGTCCATGAGTTTTTCTGCAATCGAAACTTGTAATTCATTTAACTCAGTACTAAAATTTTCTTCATCATCTTTTAGGTTGAGAGCAGTTTTCTTTTTGTATTGTTCAAATAAACACATGTTTGGCCATAAATTTTTCCATGAACAAACAATCACCTTTTTACTTACATTTGACCAAGCATTCGCAAGAGAAAATACTACATCCTTTAAATTAATTTCTTTTAAAGATTTCATCACACAGTCATCTGTAGACAAAACTTTGTACAACAGACTCTTCTTATAGTGCATTTTAACTGTCTGAATGACATTCTGATCCATTGGTTGCAGAATTGGTGTAACATTAGGTGGAAGAAACATTACACGGATAAATCTGTGATTTAAATCGTCAATAGGATGGCCAGGGCAGTTGTCTACGATAAGCAAGGCATTTTTAGATAAGTTTTGTTTTTTATTAAATTTTTCCACTGCAGGTACAAATGTTTCATGAAACCATTCGGCGAAAACAGACTTGGTCATCCATGCTTTGCTTTGATTTTTGTAATCAACAGGAATTTTTACATTTTTAAAAGCTCTAGGATTTTTTGCCTTACCAATAACTAATAAGTTTAATTTATGAGTGCCACTTGCATTTGAACAAGGCATAAAAGTTATCCTGTCTTTGGCTATTTTTCGTCCTGGAGCATTCGATTCTTCACGGTGAACAAATGTTTTTTTCGGTAAAAGACGCCAAAACAAACCACTTTCATCTGCGTTGTAAACTTGATCGGGCGTTAATGATAATTCTTGAATAACTTTTTGAAATTTTTCTTTGTACGGTTCAACACTGTTAACATCACACGACAGTTTTTCTCCCGCCATACACAATAATCTCAGACCAAAACGATTTTTAAATTTATCTAGCCAACCGTCACTAGCTTGAAAATCATCTTTTTGATCTTTGTGTGCGATTCTTTTGTAAAAATACTTGGCTTTCTCTTTCAAAATTTCGCCGGAAATAGGTGTGTGTCGATTACGTTCTTGCAAAAACCATAAATACAAGGCATCTTCAACTTCAGGAAACTCGCCAGTTTTTAATGTTTTGCGCTTTATTTTCAAACTTTCGTTATTTTTGAAAAAAGATTTTATTTTTTCGCTATTTTTTCTTATATCGTGTATTGTAGCACGGCCTACTCCAAATTCGTTCGCAAGGTTTACTAATTTGTCACCATTTTCTAATTTATTTAAAATTTCTAGTTTCTCGACCAAGGTTAAAGTAGTATGTTTTCGTTTTTGTTGTTGCGACATGTTAATACGTAAGTGATACAACACAATATCAAACCGATACACAATGAACACGCACAACACTTCAACGTTAACTGAATAAAAATAAAATATCGAATAGGTTTATCAGGATTTAATCTGTTATTACTTAGTTTTATCTAAGAGTTTATGGCTTACGATAGTAAATTTATAAATAAATACATACAGGTTTAAAGAGCCGGATTACTGGACGTACCGGATTATCGAACGGCCGGATTACCGAGATTCTACTGTATAAAGACAGAGTGATTTTTTTAATGATTACTCAATCTTTCTTTGTTCCTATGTTAACCATATACTTAAAAAAAATGTAAAATTTTTAAACCTTATTAATTTAATTAATTAGTATCTACTTTGATGTTTCCGGAGGATGTCTAGAGAATGAATTAAGTCGTTTTGTTTACTTTAAATAAATCTGAACGTGTCTGTTCACTTCTTACACATGAATTAAACAATCGAGATTAATGAGTTGCGTCAATACTGGGAGCACGCCTGGATCAATGAAGAATGAGCCCTGGGAGTATACTGACGAGACACTGAAAGCATGCCGAGAGTATACTGCCCATTTTTACGTGCGTGAAGTGAGCAATTTCTAGCCAGCAATTTCTTATCAAATTAAAAAAGCAGTAACAACTAGGTAACCAAATATTTGTTACTACATTACACTACTAGGAGCGCTGAATATAAAAGTGAAATTATTAAATCAAAATTCTTATAACTATACAGAGTGGCCCACCACTCACTGACAACTTAAATAACTTTTGATCCAGTTAATATTTTTAGTTGATTTTTTTTTAGCTTCGATGCGAAGCTGAGAAGGTATTAATTTTACTATGATGTGTTTTTTTATTTTTTTTTTTGTGTCTGTGAATGCTCAATCTCAGCTCTCGCTGGACCGATTTTGATGAGCAATATGTCAAAAGATCACAAATCGTATCTAGTCGAAGACATTACCCTCAAAAATTGAAAAAAATTCCCTCGTTCCCCGTAAACGGGGGAAATCCCCCAAAAAATTACAAATTTAAAAATCGCTAATTTTCGATATTTTTTCAATTTTTTTTACTTAAAATTGCCATAACTTTTTTAAAAATTATCGAATCAATATAATTTTTTTTTTTATAGATACTTTAGATATTTACCTATCATTTTATATATTTTTGTGAACATTTGACCCTTTAACAACCCACAGGAAGGGTTTCAAAATGGTAGCTTTTTTACAAAAAATTAACTTTTTCAACTTAACTTTTGAAAATGTTCCGGAAAGACTGACACTTTTATATATACCTTAAATTAAAGCTAATGTAATATACTTTAATTTGAAAAAAAAAAATTTGACTTCTGGACTTGTCTTCATAGTGAAAATGACTACCGTATGCAAAAATATGCTATTTTTGTGAAAAAATTCTTGATATTATATTTTACATTTTTTAACATTATGTTGCTATAACTTTTTAAAAAATGCATGAATCAACTTTATTCTTTAATGANACTTTATAAAAAATGCATGAATCAACTTTATTCTTTAATGATAAATACTTTATATATTAAATTAAAGCTTATGTAATATGATTTATTTTGAAAAAAAAAAATTTGACCTCTGGACTTGTCTTCGTGCTGAAAACGGACATCAAAGTTAAAGAAGAACGTACGATTTCCGTGAAAAAATTCTAGATTTTATATGTTATATTATTAAATTTATATTGCTATAACTTTTGGAGAAATATATAGATCAACATTATTATTTTTTATTAACCTGCTCATTGGGGGGGATTTAAAATAGCACCTTTTTTACAAAAATTAACTTTTTCAACTTAATTTTTGAAAATGTTTCGGAAATACTGCGTCCTTTAAACATATATCAAATTAAAGCTTATTTAATGTACTATAAAATGAAAAAATAAAATTAGTCCCGACGACCTATCTTCTATGCGCAAATGGCTACCATATTCAAAAATATGCTATTTTAACAAATTTTTTTTTTAATTAAACACTATCTACAGATTTACATCGAAGCGTTTTTTATGATAGTGATTTTAATCACTGTCAGATATCATCTATACTGGACCCAACTATGCCACGACCCCACTGTGCCGCCACCCCACTGTGCTGGGTTTTTTATAATCCACTTTCATCTGACACACTTTTTTTGTAAATCAGATCATACCCCTTTATACAATGGAGGGTCAAAACTTTAAACATGCTTATTGAAACTAAGACATTTTCAATTTAATTTTTGAAAGTATTCCGGAAATACTGACACTTTTATATATATCTTAAATTAAAGCTTATATAATATACTTTAATTTAAAAAAAAAAATGTGACCTCTGGATTTGTCTTCATGGTAAAAATGACTACCGTATTCAAAAATTTGCTATTTTTGTGCTAAAATTCTGGGTTTTGTATTTTATTTTATTTTAAAATACCTGACAAGGGGAGTACAGATTTTCATAAATATTATATAAATAAAAAATTAATATAGCATAGAAAGTTAAACTTATTTAAATTTGTTTGCTTCTTTTAAGTCGAGAAAAATAACTTTGAAATTTGAACTAGCTTAAATAGCTAATTTTTGAACCGACAGAAGCAACGTACGGTTGCCGAGTTGGTAAAACTTATGTTTTACACGCTTGGGGTGCGAGGTTCCAACCCGCGTATGGCAATGAATTTTTTGCATTTTTTCTTAATTCTTTTTAAGTTAGTTTAAATTTTTAACTCGTTTGATTTTTATCTCATTTAGATTCAATAACTTCAATAAAGATCAAGGATCCCATCACTTTAGTCACCCCTTGCAAGAAGAAATTTCTTATTCGTATTAAAATTATTTTACTATATTTTAAGTTTTCGCTTCGATGCAAAGCTGAGAAGATATTTTTTTGTGACTATCATTTATTTTCTCTGCTCTAACTTGACCTACTTTTTTCAACAATACGTCAAATTACTACAATTCGTATCTATTTATTGGTTATTCTAGTTAAAGTAAAACATTAAAATTAATTCAGTTCATATTTCAATTGTAGTATCTTCTTAAACACCAAAAGATACTATGAAATGATTACTATTATTTCTATTTAAGTTATCTATTACGATAAAAATGCAAAAAAATATTGAGTTACTCTGATAAATTTACTATAAATAGTAATTATAAAATTTCCTGACTGCATATTAATCTTAAAAATACAATTTTTTAAATTTTCATAAAATTTTCTACTTAATGATGTCAATTTCAAACTTGCAATTGAACTAAAAGTTATGGCAACATATTTCATTTTTTTTTACAATAAAGTTTCACAAAAACTTTTCATCAACTTTAAAGAACCAAAAAAATAGATTAAAAATGAAAATTTGGACTGATTATTTTTAACATATTAAAAATCAAATCATTTTCTCTTTTAATTATTATTTTATCTGTAATTAGTATAATATAAAAATGTATAACTGATAGAAAAAGTCTAATTGCAGATTTGAAAACAACGCTAGAAGTTGATTTAGAAAAGTAAATTTTTGCTTCTGATTAAAGTTTCTTGTAGTCCAGTGTATTTATTCATAAGTAACAAATTTTTTATTTATTTTTTTCAACGATACGTCAAATGACTA